CACGAGCCAATATCACCGCTGCATCTCCTTCCCGGTGGATGCCCATCGGACGCATTCCAATCCTTGGCTGCGACTCCGTCTCGACCATCGATTGTCGTTCCTCGCTCGCGAGGTGCCCTTACCAAGCCCCACTTTACTAATTTGTTACCAGATTGATGGTTTAATTTACCTGTGTCTGTTCTCCACTGTGCGTGTTCGATTATTAATGAAGCAAAAAAAATAAACTTGTTTTTTTATTTTACCAGGTAAGGCCCACTGAGCTCTTTTTTTTTTTAAAAACGGTCTGGCCACAAATACAAGCTCAACAAAGTGGTCTATCACGTGGAAATGCATAGCAGACAAACTCTGAAACGCGTGATGTTGATTCTTAATGTGGAGACAAAAACCGGAGTACCCAGAGACAAATCCACGCGATCACGGAGAGAACGCGCAAACTCCAAAAATACATCATGGGACGTTTTTTGGGCAGTATCAAAGTATGCAAAATAAGAAAAGGCTTGACCCTTTCTGGGAACAAAACAGGTGTTAAGCTTTTGATTTAAAGCTTTCGTGACTGCAGTAATTCATATTCTTAGCTCTTTCGGTAAAGTCACGTTGAAGGGAAACAATAAAATAATAAAATATATATAAAACAATAGAAATTCTCACGACGTTTCGACCATAACACAAACCGACACACCTGATGACGACCGTTTGTGTTATGGTCGAAACGTCGTGAGAATTTTTATTGTTTTATATATATTTTATTATTTTATTGTTTCCCTTCAACGTGACTTTACCGAAAGAGCTAAGAATAGGTGTTAAGCTGTTCAAACAGCAAATAGAAACCCTTTGCAAGGAATTAAGTCTGCATTAACCACACGTGCTTGTGGTGAACATGCAAACAAAACATGCTCTGATAACATACGGCATTGTCTCTGAAACTGATTTGCCTAAACCAAATATACAGCAGGTGTCAAGGTCGGGATCGAACCCACAACATCCTCCATCACCCACTACAGTACTGCGAAAACTGGACAGGGCCCTTCTGAAAAAGAGTCAGGAGACTCAGGCCATACCTGGTTAGCACGGTTGGCTACGTACGGTGTGAAAGAAGTTCAACATATATACATACAAGTGTAGGAAGAATAATACTCCAAATCAAGGATCTGACGCTGAATGTGCAAATAAAAGCTGTGCGCTAATTCTCCCTATTATCTGTGACTATTAACATCTTCAGTTAATTCAAGGGTACCCAGCAGTCAGTTGAGATATGGATTATTATACAAAGCCTGCATAGGCATGCATAGGCATTAATGCTGAGGTTAAGCGTATACGTGTTCATTTGATTAAGAAAAGTAACCAAGCCCTGTGGTCGGATTATGTTACTTTGAAAACACCAAATGTAGGATTCTGTTCCATTACTTCTAAAACCCATAAGAGATCAGTCATTAATCAAAGTAATCAGTAATAAGAGTGATTGTCCTCCTAACACTTAATGTTTTTTTACTGCATGTGCCAGAGCATTGATTAACACAGCAGGCAAGTAAGTGGCGCGGTGGGTTCTCCGAGCGAGGGAAACTAAAGGCTGGCTCTGAGCATCACGGCATCTGTCATGAATGCCTCAAACGAAATTGAGTTTATCTATTTGGGGTGTGAGCGAAAGACAAAAACAACAAGCAGTTACATGTTTTGTCTGTTAGCCACGCCGTTATGGAATGTGGTGCCGTGCGGTAAATAAAAATAAAACATTAAAATGCGATCATAAATATTTCAATTCCTTGACACACATATATAAACCATTCACTGCTAAGTCAATCTTGATAACCCGCATCTCGCGAACAACTTCCCACACTTGGCTTTGCCAAAACGGTGATGCCTATTTGGTTGCTAATAAGCTCAGGGACGAGAATGTTAAAAGCTGATGGGGGGGTGGGTGCCAGCAACAAAAGCCTCCGGTCCTCGGTGACACGAGCTCAGTCCCATTCGACCACAGTTTGTGCGATAAGATAAGCCGCCGTTAACATTTACGGGAGGTAGGGGGTAGGGGGTGTGCGAGGAACGCATCCACAATCGACGACGACGACAACAACAACAAGGGGGCATTCAACACGGGGAGCGCCGTAACGTCGCCATTGCGTGAGAAGCATTTGATACACTCGAGCAAGTGAAAATAAGAATATCTGGCTTTCTCACGATTTTGGAGAGATAACGAGCCTCCTATTGTAGTGACGGGGCTACAACAAACAACGAGCGGCGGATGCATGGATCGCTGTCTCTCTCTCTCACACACATTCGCTCTGTCTCTCTCGCTCTCTGTCCCTCTCACACTCACACACACTCGCTGTCTGTCCGGTGTGTGTAAATGTGGTTGGCCCAGCTCCACGCCCGGGAAAGCTACTTTAAGTTTCCCATTACTGATGGCACGATACAATACCGTGGTGGGTTTTTATTTTTGTTTTTTTTTGTTATCGAGCGTCAAAAAAGTAGAGGTTATCTCGAGACGCTACGTGTGTCGTGCAAGCTCGCAATAGATGTGTCTGCCGTGCGAGGCGCGTACCAACGCCAGCGTCCAAGACACAAGGGACAGCATCGGAGGTCGAGTGTCAGGATTGTGTTTGCGGTCAGCAGCGATCAAACCGGACGCTCGGGTTCAAAACGAATTGACGGATTTCGGCACCGGGCAAACCGACGACGACTTCACAGGTGGATTCAATCCACTGAGTGAATCCAGTAAGAGGAGCGAATTTATCCGCTCTACCACCACCTGCCGGCAACCCCGCAGACTCACGGCCTGCAGCAGCAGCAGCATCCGGTGCGCGACTGGGCGGTCACCCAAGCGAGCAACTGCCTCGCCTCGACCGTGCTTATCTTCGCAAGATCCCTCCAGATTGGACCACGTATTCAGGGTGATGTGGTCATCTGAGGCCAACGCGAGAGCCCAGTAGTGTGCCATCATCGTGCAGGTTGTCCAGACAGTCGGCTTGGCACGGCCGGTTTCTGGTAGACTACACAGACACCTTCAAATAACAGAGGCCCGTCGGACCTTAGCGTGGAGAGATGGATAGTTTCAAGGCGGTGAGCCAAGCCTGCGCTATTCGGCAAGACAGCTGGAAATTGCCTATTGTAATTTTTTTTCTTTTATTGAGATTGGTTAAACGTTTTGTCATCATCAGAAGCCACGATTAATCCTGTCCAATCTGCCACCACCCCTTTCCCACGATCCCACAATGCCACAATCCACCCAGCACCTGTCCACGAACGGATGTCATATCCCGGACCATTTTTTTTTAAACAAATGTTATTAATGATTATTTGTTATTGGCCCAAATTGACGCTGAAACTCTAACGACAACTGGGCTCCCTGGGGGTCGCGATCCACAGATTGAAATGTTTTACTGTATTGTGCCAGCGCAATAGCGCCTGCCTCTTCTATTATAAAAGCCCGGCGTTCCGCTCGTCCGTCAACTAAATGATAAGGAGCCTTTCAGAAGACTCCTTATCATTTGGTTGGGGAAGATGAGGACATCAGTGGGGGCGACGGGCGAGGCGAGACGCCGAAGCTTTCAGAAGCCCTCCGCTGCAGCTCAAATTAAGCAGTTCGTAGGCTGTCGAAATTCCAGCTAATAAAAAAAAGGCTCCGGCAAACTGTTACCGACAGAAGAAAGTGCAACAAACACTGTGCATTTTGTGTCAGGATGGCTGGAAGTTGACCGTTTGTTCCCTCATATGCGTGGAATCTTGTCTCGGCAACTAAAGTTCCCGAATTCGGGAGAAGCCCACATTCAACGAAGGCAGCCATGCAGCACGAGGTGGGACGTTTATCCCACTACTCTTAGGGCCTTCCATAAATTGCCTCACTCTTGGCTGTTGGAACCTTGGGATTTATAATATTGTAAAAAAAAAAACAGATGCAAAGGCCGTGGCAATTGCCAATGTTTGTTGTTACCTTTCACGTGAAAATTTGCGTTGTCTCCAGCGTTACCTATCCCATGTACCATTTACAATATCTCCGTGCGAGAATGCATCCCCGACTTTGTGAATCATACAATGTATAGGTGCGCGCCTGTCGGAGGGGCGTTTCGTCGCTACCTAACTGAGTGGCGAGAGGGGTGGAGGGGTCAGGTGAGATGATGACCGGCGAATGGGTGGCGATTCGTAATAGAGGTTTTTTGGGGTTAGATGGCGTAAATATATCAATGTGTCGTTAAGCCCGCCACCACCCGACGCAGCCAACTAGTAAGGGTTGTCACGTAAACAGAACGTGCCAATTCGTTACTAGTGCGTTACTAGTACAGCGCACCGGTGTGTTGGAGAGCCAAGCCACAGACAACATTGTTAATCTGGAGTACGACGTTTCGCCAGTAACACACCGGTGTGCTGTACTAGTAAGGAATCTGCAAGTTCTGTTTACGTGACAAACCTTACTCATTGGCTGTGTCGGGTGATGGCGGGTTTAACGACACATTTATATATTTACGCGATCTAGCACCAAAAAGAACCCCGCATTACGGACGATATTGGTGGCTAAAGCCTACCACGTGTTAAACTGGGTGGCGATTGTCGGTCGAGTGTTGGATTTCATGACGTCACTCCCCGCTTGCCTGCCCCACTCATCACTGCGTTAGGGAGTTTAGAGTAATTGCCTGCTGCTATATCAATGTCCACGTGATGATGATGATGATAAGCCACTTCGTTGAGCTATCATTTGTGACAGCCAGGTCGCTTCTGAAGGAGAGCCACCTAGCAGCTCAGTGGTTGGGGGCCTTTACCTGGTAGCATTAAAAAAAATTGTGTTCGTTAGTTTTAGACAACAACAAGAGAACAAACCCCCCACGCGCGCACGTAGCCAGCTCTGTTATCCCCCCGCAGCACGCGCACGCACGCACCTGGGAGAGCCAGGTGCGGGCGAGTCGACGTCACGGGCCCCGTGAAGCTGACGTGTGCGGCGTGACAGCACGGGGCCCCCTCCCCCACTACCACCACCACCACCACCCCCACCAACCCCGCCGTGTCTCAGCTCGATCTACAATCGGCTGTGGGTGCACTTGTGGGCACGCTCCCCTTTGAGATTGGGGGCTCCTTTCTGATCTCTCCTCTGAGCTGGCGCGATCATCAAAAGCACTCAGTCGGGTAATGTCCTTTCCCCCCCCCTCCACCCCCCGTTTTTAAACGTTAATAATGTTGTTTTTTATTCTCATTCATCTAAATTAGATATTTCTTTAATGAATGTATACTTTTACAGAAGGTGGTGGGTGTAAATGATCATTATTATGGGGTCTGTGCATTGCTGAGAATTGATGTATAACTCTGAGGATTGTGTGGTTCAGTTGTGGAAGTGATGTGCTCGGCTTTGATTAGTACAAAATAGAAAGCAGATGAAAAAAAATACATCGATGTTACATCAGTAATATATTCAGTTCACCTGAATATACGGTTTGCTTTAATCAGTGCCGGATTATCCTAGTAGCAAAAGTAGCTACATATGTAGCTACGTGCCCCGCACTTTCAAGGACCCCGCGCTAAATGCTTTCAAGCTATCAATTCCGGTTCAGTGATTCTGCACTTGCTCTATTACTACAGTACTATACCGCCGTCAACTTTTATGAACGACTGGGTGTTTAAGGTTAGCGTTTTGTCGTGTTATCTGGCTGTATAGCACGTGAAAAAATACAATTGCTTTACGATGTAAGTAAAAAATGTGTGTTTTAATATTTGTGTTTTTTTTTATTTAGAGCCCCTTTATAACATCATGCTCCAGGCCCCGCACTAGCTTACTCCGGCATTGGCTTCAATCAGTACCGATGTGAAAGCCTAAAACAGAAAATGAAAGGCGAATGTAGCTTTTATTCTGATTGCCAAGTTTTTTTTAAAAGTGGAATGGCGAAACGTTGTCGCCTGAATCTCGCCCTCTCGAATCTCCACGCGTTACCGCTTCGCTTTTACAAGTATTGTAAATGCATTCTAATCGACGCTAACACAGACAGTTTGGGATTTCTTAACAGAGAAACGTGCAGTGAAAAACGTTGCCTAGGTTATCAATGCCTCGGCATAAATACTCAGAGTAATATATAACAAATTATCATATTACGGCATTACGTTTCACCGACATCAAATTACGTGCAAAAAGTTGCTATTCATGGTAATGACAACTTCCATTTGGCATTTGCAAAAAAAACTACGGTACATTTCAGCAGAACTGAATGGCCACAGTTCAATAAAAAAGACTGCACCAACTTTTATAAAAATGTGTAGTACTCCAGCAATGAATGTCTATTATTTGTTTAAGTAGTCGAAGCTTAAATGATATATACTGCACGTTGAGTTTGTGAAACAGATTTTGGAATACCGGGTAATGAGCATGATTGAGGTATCATGTAATGTTAATGCCATGTTACTAAGCAGCCATCAATTAGTTTTTTTATTCTCCGGCAAATGTCCAGGTTGTGAAAAGTACTGTGAGGTGATCTCGTTCCGATGTAAAGTCTCAGTGATGAATTCTGTATACTACGTCGACAACAGGAGTGACCGCAGTACATCCATAACTAGCCACATGACTCACCAACTTGTCCACGCACCGACCGACAACGGCAGCTAGACAAATGCCACCATCCCACCAGTGTGTGTGTGTACTATTTTACAGAATTTCCGATGCAATGCTGTTTACCAGTCATATCGTGCGCTTTCAGATGAGCTTCTGCGGCCGTCTGGAACGTACATCCTGCTGATATTAGGAAGCCACTGAAGCTACGCACCATTAAATCATCTCGATTGAAAACTAATTTATTTAGAACTTCTTATTGTATTTAGTTTGTTGTCCTTCCCCTGCACCTCTGATTAGCACGGTTTCCTAGGTACGGTGCAAAACAAGTTCAATATGCATACATAGATTTATAAAGGAAAAAAATAGCAAACACTGTAAAAACAAGCACATCCACCCGCCACAACGAGGCCAACGTAGGCTGCTTAATTCGTAATATTTTACCCCCCCCCCAAAAAAAAACCAAATGACCCGCTTTATTTTTCCAGTTGTTTGCGTTACACCTCGCCTGTTCCGGACTTTGCCCCACACACAACGTGCCCTTCTCTGTTTTACAAATGAAAAGCTTACCGAAGAAGGTTCTCTTCTCAGAGAAATCCTCCACACTTGATGCTATTACAACGTTGTCTGCTGTCTGCAGAGCTGTAAACTACGGCGTAACGTTTTGTCTGGGTGTTGCCCAGGACACAGTGATGCAGTCTATCAAATTACGTGGGGGGGGGGGGGGGGCTAATGGTGCTTCCCACAGAGGTGGAGGTCTCAAGATATCTGCTTCAGAAAGTTATGTCTGAAAAATTGCTGTTGGTGTCATGGTCCATCACATACTGGTCTTGCAATCCAGACGAGATCGCCGATTCGATCTATAGGCGCGGTAGTTGAAACAATGGTTTCTGAAATTGTTCAACCTCAGTTAGCCGACAGGCAGGTCGCGTGTGACGGTGTGGGTACACTCTTCCAAGATGTCCGGCTGGCGTGGAAGAGTAGGCCAAAATAACCATCTAGAGGGGCTCTCCAGAGCTCTCTCCAGTGGAGGCCCTGCCGCCAGTAGTGGCGTGAGCGAGCAGTTGCAGGGCTGCGCCTTTAACTTTTTTTCTCACTCTGGTAACAACATTTGCGTTGAGCACCAATTTACAAAAAAAAAACGATTGTAATTGTCGCATATGAGAAACATTTTCAGACGTTCATAAACGTCTTCATTTGTTGCGCTACCGTTTGCGTTTTTACACCTTGCGCTTATTATTGTGGCGAATGTAGCGACCTCCAGTGGTTGGCAGGGGCTGTGGGGGGTGATGAGGAACCAATGACGTGAAATGCATACGGATCTAAACATTGTAATAGATCATTGCACAGGTGACTTGGTGTCTGCAGCATGAGCTTAAGAATCTATAATAATTACAACCAATAATGAAGTGGCTCGGAAGCCAGAGCACTGAGATGGCACCGCTCGGTTTTATCATCCGGACACCCGCCTGTGACCAAAGCGCGTTGTTGTCAAGTGTAGCAATGTAATGGTCACAGGCTGCAGGAAAAAAATAAAAAAACCATCACGATAACTTTGGTTCTACACTTATTTGTCTAAATTCTAGCGATGAGAATTGAAATGATAGTTTTGACTGTCACGCGACCGACATTGCTGCTCTGATGCAGAATGGGAAAGTGCTGCGCTCTGCTGTGTGTGGATCAGAGGTCACTAGAAGGTCGATCTCCAAGGTAGCTCTGTGATATCCGCTTCCGCGGGCCGTTCCCCAGCGCCAAGGCTCGGCACTGCTCTGCAAAAAGATCCGAATGGATTCTTCGTCTCGTGACGAGTCACCATTTCTCACAATCGGGCGGTGTAGTTGAACCCCACAGTGTACAGCACCCGTAGCCATATGGAGCTGTCGCCATCTAGCCACAGAGATTGAGAGATGCATCCTCTCCATCGAAGCTGCACGAGTTTGGCCAGAAGGGGCACTGCCACCCCCTTGCCACTCATTCCACTCTCTCACTCAGGCCACTCACTCCCTCTCTCCACCATCCATGAAATTGCTGTTTCCCACCACTCCAAAAGCAAAGTTTGTGTAGAATAATAGCCATTTACTATAGTTTTGAGGCATAAGCAATTATAAAAATAACACTTACTACCCAGGAACAAAAATCCTGTTACATCGTAATATAATTACACCACTCCAGACAATACGTTTACATTGTTACTCTTTGGTTCTTTCGGTAAACTCACGTAGGTAAAACAATTAAATTAAATAAAAATATCACGACAAGCGGTCGTCCTCAGGAGGAAAAAACAATCCAGCAGTGGAACTAATGAACCAGGAAAAGAACACAGCGAGAGAGCTGTTTACAGCAAGAGGTTATATATGTTGGCGAAGGGCAAGCAGGTGGGGTCTGAGCTGGAAAGGAATTCCATCCCCACACACAAGCACGTCAGTTGTGTTAATGGGGGAGATTAGGGAGAGAGAGATTAGGGAGAGAGATTAGCATGAAATGAGCTTCCGTCGCCACATAAGAGTACCGTCCCCGCATATGCGCGCAACAGCAGTGTTAATGGGAGATCAGCACTATGTTGATGGGAGAGATTAGGCAGATAGATTAGGGGGATTAGCAAGTTAATGTCATGTCTATGTGTAACACAAGCTGCGGCGCTGCCAACTGCACTGTGAGAGGCAAGCGCGTCCACGCAAGAGAACCACCACAACGGTGGTCGCGCCAGTGAGACACAAAGCCCATCACACAGCCAGAACCATCGATACATCGAGGCTAAGGGAGCAGAGGTGGCCATGTTAGTGAGACCCCAGCCCATTAATGCAGAGGCACCTAACAGGGCAATGCAACTCAGAGAGTCGGAGATAACAGCCAAACGGCAGGGAAGAATGGGAGCGCCACAGCAAGTTACGACTTTGCTTGGTTAATAACGTCCTTCCAATGATTGCTTAGCTTATACCCATCTTCTCGGTTGAAATTGTCTCTGTGTTTATATAGTTCTCCCGTCTTCCAGCATTGAGAGATATTCTTCTTTCCTTAATGTCCTGCATGTGTTGTACCTCAGAGGCGGCGACCCCAGAGTGATGATGTGCCGCACGTTGTTCATGTGGTATCTGCTTTTGTTGGTTAATAAGGTACCCTCTGTCCATGGTTGTTGCACAGATCCTCACGATGAAGAGGAAGGAGTTGGTCTATGCTCTGCTGCTGAGCGTCACTTTTCACTGTAGCCATGGGGCTACATATCTAGGTAAGAAAAACGGCCCTCCTCAATGCTGTCCACCCATGTAAACACTCATTCATTGGCCAATCACACCTCAATATATAGAGGACAGCAGAGCTTGGGCAGTTGTTGGCGTCAGCTCACCGCATCGACGCCTTCTTGCATGTCTGTGATTAGTTTAACATGTGGGCTTTCGTGACCAATATCATCCATAATACAGGTTTTTTTGGGGGGGTTAGATCGCGTAAAAATATAAATGTGTCGTTAAACCAGCCACCACCCGACACAGCCAATTAGTAAGGGTTGTCACGTAAACAGAACGTGGCCAATTCGTTACCAGTACAGCACACCGGTGTGTTGGAGAGCAAAGCCACAACATTTACAATCTGTAAATGTTATTGCATGGCTCTCCAACACATGGCTTTCCAACACACCGGTGTGCTGTACTAGTAACGAATTGGCATTTTCTGTTTACGTGACAACCCTTACTAATTGCCTGTGGCGGGTGGTGGTGGGTGTAACGACACATTTATATATTTACGCGATCTAACCCCCCCAAAAAAAACCTGTATTAGAGATATCTGTGGTTGCTCACGCTTCCAAATCGTTCTCTCTCTCTCTACGAGAGTCAGCAAATCCTGTGCATCATATCACAAGTTGAAATAATATTTTAAGCATGCAACGTTAGGCCAACGTTGGCATGCGGTTAGAACCTCTAGACCAGCATTGGCCTGACATTGGACAAACGCTCCATGTTTGCTGGGTACCTACATGATACATGCCATTATCGTTGGAATGGGACCACAAGATCAGGACTTGCCAAGTCCTCTCTCTCTACCTCTAATGATGCAAGCAAGCCAAGTGTCTGCATCTGAGTTATCGAGAGTGCAACCGGATCGCTCTCGAAATTTTAAAATTTCGCCTGCGGCTGCTTTGTCCATATCTGTCCGAATAGTTGCGCAAAAAGGAAATCAGACGGGGCATTCAAGATTTTAACGACCAATCATAGCTCACAAATGTGCAGCACATGATGAAGTACGTGTTACAAATTACAGAGCAGATCGACTCTTGAATGTTCAGCATAGTTTGTTTCTACTGTGAGCATCCAGTTGCACAACTGCTCGCAACTGGTCACATAAACATGAACGTATGCGAGTGATTCAGTTGCATGCAACCAATTTGCGCGACCGATCACTCAGTTGCGGATCCAGCTCAAATGCCACGATATGCAAGGACAATTTCTAGGGCAATCGCTGCTCGCAAACGTCACCAGCAAGAGTGGCCACACCATTTCCCCACGGAATTCAACTCCTAAAAGATGCCCGCAGTAGTTGCGTGGGGACAGCTTCCAGAATAGATGCTCAACACGTGGCCTCACCTGGAAGACCACACTTGGATTACGAGCAGCTGAGAAAACGTAGGTGCTTAATTGGAAAAAAAAAAACCATGCAGTTTCCCAAATGTCGACATATTTGATTGCTACTCCCCCGAGTAAATAAACTGGGATGGCAACTTTGAATTGCAACCACGGAGGTCACGTGACCACCGAGTGTCGCGTGCTCTGCAGACCAATCACTGTTCATAGACTACGCTTATCAACAACGTTGGTTTTATTTTGTTATCGGCTCGACAAAACTTCGTCACCATGCCACTGCCTTTCCAAGATCTCGTAGATACTAACAGGGGATGCATTTCCCATGACATCACCGCAAGTAATCTAGAGAGCTGTCACCATCGCATTTTGAACCCCCCCGCAAGCATCACATGGTCATCACATGGATACGGGGCGAGGAGCATTCGTTCATCGCCACGTTCACCCCCCCCTCCCCCAACCACAGGCAAAAACAAAAACCGCACGTAAACATGCACGCATCACAAAGGCACGCGCGCAAACCACACACAGGAACAAGCTCCTCGCACGCAAACACAACAGGCAAATGGGGGCAACAAAAGTCCCCACCAGCACCTTGTGCTTTCCCGCTCAGCGCCCTTGTCGGCCGTAAGAGTTAATGGACCATTCTTCACCACACTCGTCAGTGTCGGTCAATGAATTGGGCCCACCCAGGATAAGTGCAAATATCACTCTGCACTGATATGGCCATGGCCGGGAATCAAACTCAGACCATTGAATTCGTAGTGTAGTGCATTAACCACTTTGTCAGTGCTCCAAAATAAATCAGGTATTAGCTAACCAAAACTCCCGTGGTGGTGGTGGTGGCGACGGCGGCACACGCCTCTAATCAAGCCCTGCAGAGTTGAGGATTGGTGGGTTGCACAATTGTTGTGAAATTCCCTTCCCATGGGTGTCGAGGTGCCGTACCTTGACTCGCCAGGAGAGGGGACAGTGCAGAAAAAAATGTGGACTCCACTTTTTTCCATCTGCCCCCTTCGCACGCGTGGGGTTTTCTTCGCGTGCTCAAGTTTCCTCCCACGTGTAAGCACTTATTAATTGGCCAATAACACCTTAATATATAGAAGATGGCAGCGCCTGAGCAAAAGTTAGCACCAGCTCACCGCATGGCCTGCCTTCTTGCTTGGCTGTGCTTTCTCTTTGCACCCGACTTGTTCTCTCTCTCTTAGAATACTGTGCACGGTTGAAATTATGTAATGGACCATATTATCTGGTACAATCAAGAAGATCGTTTACTCCCCTTCCCGGGTTGTTCGTTCATCTCCTCTAGGATCTGCTCTCCACCCCAAAAATAAAACTAAAAACCACCAGTGGATGAGCTTTCTCATGTACAGCGCCATGCAGTCTGGAATACCCTGCCACTCCACATTCGACAAATCAACTCCATAAATAAATACACCGTTTAAAAATAAATAAATTAATGCAAACCGACACACCTGATGACGACCGTTTGTGTTATGGTCGAAACGTCGTGAGAATTTTTATTGTTTTATATATATTTTATTATTTTATTGTTTCCCTTCAACGTGACTTTACCGAAAGAGCTAAGAATACAACTCCATCATGTTATTAAAATCTGAATTAAACGACTTTTTATTAATCTAGGCATGTGCTGAAAGATATGTAACCACTTTTTGGAAATTGATATAAATGAGTCGTAACTTTTTGGCCAATCCACCGCCGCCCCTCCTGTGAAGGTTTCCTGGCTTGGTTGGGAAGTTGAGATTGTGGTCCGGGATGTGTAGACCTCGTAGACTCAATTCTTTGTTGTGATAACCTGTGTTGTTGCTTGTGCTTTGTGTGTTGGTGCCGTTTCGTCATTTGTTTATTATTTTATTATATTGCTTGGTAGTAGGTTTATCATTTGCTTGGTGTGTATGTGTGTTGGGCTTCTTTTGCGCCGTACATAGCCAACCTACGTATATGGGATTTGGTCCTCATATATAATTAATGTACAACATTGTGGGATGCTGTTGGCAGGAATAACACCGCTACATGAAATGAAAGTATTATTATTAACAACGTGAATTCCTGATTTTGTCACTTTATTTATTTGTTTCAGATCCTCGCTGCCAGGACAATGGCTACCGGCACATTGGCTTGCCCGGCTACCCAGGACCTCCGGGGCCCCCTGGCTCGAATGGGGTCTGCAGGGCGAATGACTGCAGGGGACAGAAAGGAGACAAAGGTGACCCCGCGCTGGCACAGCCATGCGTGAAGGGAACAAAGGGCGAGAAGGGAAATTCTGGGTTGATGGGATTCCCTGGCGATAGTGGCTCTACTGGTCCACGTGGACTGCCCGGTCCACCCGGTTCCCCAGCCGCACCTGGAGAACCCGGACCGCCGGGGGCCAAAGGAGAGAAAGGCACCAAAGGTTGCTCTGGAGCACTTGGAACTCAAGGTCTGCAAGGTCCTGCTGGTATTCAGGGGCTGCCCGGGCCAAAGGGAGACACAGGTCCGAAGGGCCTTCCCGGAGGAGATGGTATAATGGGACCTCCAGGAATGGAAGGAGTAGAGGGAATACAAGGGGACCACGGGGTTCCAGGAGAAAGGGGACTGCCAGGTGGTCCAGGCTTGAAAGGGCATCCGGGGAGATCCGGCCCACCTGGAAAGCCGGGTGGCGGAGGGAAGGAAGGGCCTCCCGGCCCCGTGGGTGCTATCGGGCTCCCAGGAAGGCCGGGGCCAGCAGGGATGCAGGGGCCGCTGGGTGTACAGGGGGAGTGTGGACTCTCTGGGCCGCCGGGTAGTTCTGGCTTTCCAGGCCCGAAGGGAGACCCAGGGCCTCAGGGTGACCCAGGAATCCCAGGACACCCTGGGCCCTGTGGACCTCCTGGAAAGGGGCCATGTGGACCTCCGGGAGAAAGAGGGAATCCAGGAGCACCAGGTATGACGGGACAGATGGGGCTGCCGGGACCACCGGGGCTGGTGGGGCAAGTTGGACCGTCGGGACCAAGAGGTGTGTGCAATGATAACTGCTACTGCCAGCCGGGGCCACCCGGCCTCCCCGGCCTTCCAGGCCCACCCGGCAATAACTACACGCCAATTCCGTGTCCTCCAGTAACTCCCCATCCGCCTATTAGACGTGCTTGTGAAGTAAATTTCTCGTCACATTGTCCTCCCTGTCCCACTCGTCTGACGGGCTCGGGTAGGAAAGCTAGGCGTAAGGCTTTGTCGACGAGTGCACGTGTTTTTTTAAACCATTCCAGATCGTCTTGGCCACCAAAGGTGACCGAGGTGGCGTTTAACCAAAGTAGCGTCGGAGTCGGTGAAAGGCCGAAGCTGAAACGGGCTCAGGGTAAATCCAAGGGCTGCTGTCCGGATTTGGCGGCGTTCACGGTCAAGTCCTCCATGCTAAACCCCCGCGTCCCCTCCCGCATCAAATTTCGGGAGGTCATCTACAACAGGGGAAATCACTACAACAGCACCTCGGGTAAATTCCAGGCCGCCCTCGCCGGAGTGCACAACTTCGCCTACAGCTTTAACAGCGACATGGACGTGTGCGTGGGCCTCTACAAAAACGGCGAGGTCATCTCCCAAAACTGCAACGTGCCGAAGCAAAGTTGCAGCGTGAACGTCTTTGCTGAGAGCATCTTGCTGGAGGTGGAGGTGGGCGACAGCGTGTGGCTGGAGCTGTCGTCGCAACGAGAGAACACGCAGGCGGGGGCTGAGAATAAGCTGCAGGCCACATTCTCCGGAGTGCTGGTGTTCATGGGGTCAAGCGTATACAGGGATGGTTACGTGTAAGGTGCGCACGCCTTGTGTGCTAGCCCAGGGGTCGGCAACCTTTCAAAGAAGAAGAAGAAGAATTATTGTTTTTGTCTTTGACCAAAATAGTTCCGAGGGCCGCATCACACGCAGAGCTGCTTGCACACAAACACAGCAGCGGCAGGTATACAACAGATGACATTTTTTTTACTTAAACAAAATAGGTGATGGAATAAACTGCGCTATTTTAGTCTCCCCCCTTTAGTTACTCTTTAACAATACAGTTTGACTGCACATTTTGTCATCACCAAGACCCATTCCCTGCCATATTTAATAAATTATCTTTACGTTAAATTATGTTTAAGATTTAATAAAAGATTTAATAAAAAAACTGCTGCCCACAAAGGGGGGCAGCCGAAGAGCCGCTAGAGGGCATCCAAAGAGCCGCAAGGTGGCTGCCAAAGAGCCGCTAGGGGGCAGCCGAAGAGCCGCTAGGGGGCATCCAAAGAGCAGCAATGGGGCAGCCAAAGAGCCGCAATGGGGCAGCCGAAGAGCCGCTAGGGGGCATCCAAAAAGCCGCAAGGGGGCAGCCGATGAGCCGCTAGGGGGCATACAAAGAGCCGCAAGGGGGCAGTCGAAGAACCACCGCATGCGGCTCCGGATCCGCAGGTTGCCGACCCCCAGTGCTAGCCGGTCCCCAGGAATCATCAACAGCCTTAGGGGTGGTTATACCAAAAGTGCCTCCTCCCTGTCCTTCCAGATGTGTTTTAATCGAAGCAGCTAAAATGACCATCGCCTCGCCCCCCCCCCCCCCCCCCCCGTGATGACTCGTGGAAGGAATATATGCTATTGGTGAACCGGAGCATGTGTGTCAACACGTGTTTTGGGTGGTTGTGTATTCACCGGCACGTGTGTTCCTCTTGTGGAAAGTTGCGTTTGTTGGGCTCTTTAAAAAAAAAAGTTATTTTGCAGATTATTTCTTCATAACCGTCTAACACGACTGCGTGGTGTCACGTACTGCCCAAATTTGACGTCACCGCAGTCCCGTCACTTATCGATAGGTCGACAGATTCGACGGGCAAACGCACATGTCAGTCTGAAATAAGCGAGAAGCGTTAAGTGTTTTTGCCGCTAAATATGTCGCCGAATATTTAACTTCACTTCATGAATCCAAGAGTAAAAAATATATCAATTTTAATCGCAGAAATGATGAAAGGCCTTTGTTAAACTCAGCTTAAACACAATAATAATCCCATCTTTGGACAGATATTCCATCAGCCTCATGCTGTTCTTTAAATACATACTTTAAATTTAAGTGGTACATTAAAATACTTCATCATTAAATGATCGATCTTGATTTGAAGCTTTCGTGACTGCAGGAATCCATACTCTTTGGTTCTTTCGGCAAAGTCATCATTCGCCAAATAAACACGCATGCAATCTATATTTTAATAATGATAAAAAGTTACCTTGCATTATATCAATGTTATTTTGTTTTCCTACATTAGCACATCAGGAGGGTGGCACAGTAGTTTGCACATTGCGCGATTAACCCAGCAACGTGAGTTTTGATTCTCGACTGCAACCATCATCAAATGGTGAATTAAATCTTAACCAGCCCTGGGGCTTCCTCTTTACCAACCCGCACTGACTAGTACGGTGAAGCAGGGAAGCTGACATCCAGCAGTGGATTGAAATAGGGTTTGAGAATTTGTATTCATAGTTAAGAGTCTTGAGTTAAAAAGACGCTTAAGTTGATTGACGCCTTCACGTTATTCATGTAAGTTCTCATTCTGAGCGTTACATATTATAAACTGCCTCTGCTTTGTATTGGTTTTATTTGCAGGTGTAATAATAATGATAATGGTGCTAATACGAGTTATACTTGACGCAGAGCTTGTTGCCGAGGGGGATAAACAACGCTCACGATTCACGGTGCACTTCGCAAAAAGTTGACGAGCCGGGCGCTGTTTCCATCCAGCCGAGTCACCTTGGCAGAGGGAGTTGTTTCAAAGATTGCACACGCAGGGGCGGGGGAAGGAGGGTGGTGGTGTGCTCTGCCAGGTGGAAATGGCCAACCCCGGTGTCACAGGGCTTTAAATCCCCTTTAGACCTCTTTTCCACTGTCCAAACCGAGCCACACCGGGGCCATTCCAAGGCAGCTCGACACTAGCCGCGGAGAGACACCAGGAAATGTTTGTCCGCTGCAAAAGCTCAGCACGTACTGATATTGCACGCAGTGGACAAGTCGAGACACTTGTAGATGATGTACTCGTGCTGTGTTCGAATAGCACCGACTGACGTCGCACGCAATAAACTCCTGAGCGAGATTCCAACATCTCGTAAGGCCAGCGCGCATCACTGTTTGGTTCTGGATCGGGCACAGAACTTAGCAAGCGGAAAACAGCCTGTACTATGTGGGGGTCACTGCACTGGCTCGGATGTGCCAGTGGAAAAGGTGTACCGGTGTGGACTGGTGCTATAACATGTACACACACGTATACACGATTCCTACTTAGGGGTGGAACGATTCACCACTGCCGGAGAGTCAAAGAATTGTCACAATTCAGGATCATGGATGGATTCAAGAATCCACATCATTTGAAGCATTGTGGTGAATGGTAGCATCCACCTCAAGTGGCAGCAGACGTTTTGTGCACCGATTACATACAACATATATGAATATGAAAAAAAATCTTTACACTTGCGATTTCATGCATGTATATCGTGAGCTCAATTCATCTCTTGTCAGCATGTTGATTTCGCCCTGTCGATATGAATGATGCTTTCCTTAGAATGTCTGTACGACTTTACAACATATTTTGCCGCTTGATAGGGAAATAAAACGTATATTTTCCCCCAAACTGTCTAGCCCAAGTTATTTTATAATGCACAGCATAAGAAACTGAATGTGTTCATCTATGAGTGAGTCTGTCAGTCACAACGCTGGGGAGTGTAATGTGTGTGTGTTGCACCATACTGGATTAAACCCAAGGATCGTCGGCACATGAATAGTTATCATCTGGATTTAAAGCTTTCGTGACTGCAAGGATTCATCTTCTTTGGTTCTTTCGGTAAAGTCACGTAGAATAATAATAAAATAACACAATAAAATTCTCACGACGTTTCGGTCACAATGCAAGCGGCCGTCTTTAGGTGAAAGGTACAGACCTGTCGGGACGACAGAGCTTCAATGAACGATGTTAAGATTCGTAGCGAATCTTAACGAATCTTAACATCTTAACGAATCTTAACATCTTAACGAATCTTAACATATGTAAACCCCTTTGTCAAGGTGCCTCACTTCTCCCAACCAGCTTAAAAGTCGCTACGAATCTTAACATCGTTCATTGAAGCTCTGTCGTCCCGACAGGTCTGTACCTTTCACCTAAAGACGGCCGCTTTGCGTTGTAGCCGAAACGTCGTGAGAATTTTATTGTGTTATTTTATTATTTTATTCTCATTCTACGTGACTTTACCGAAATAACCAAAGAAGAAAAGTTATCATCTGCACCCGTAAATGAACCCACTTCCTGCCTACCGCTGATCCCACCACTGACTCCCATTCTTGTTCAGAATTTACTCCAAGAACAACTTTCACCCAACTTTAAGATCTAAACCCAGTGCTTTATTTCATCCAGAAAGAGTCTGAAAAGCTGTTCCGGGAACGGATGTTGCACCAAGCCACATCCATTTCGCCTTAATGTCCCTTCGTGTTTATTAACCTGCTCGTAGTATTATAGGAATAAAGGTGCAATACTTTAACATAGAATCAGTAAAGGTAGGTAATAGCTTGTACCCCTAGTGGTAGTACCTAAAGCCGATAATCTCGACTGCAAGGCAGCAAGCCTAGCAACGTTCTGGAAAGTAAATGAGTGAAACACAAACCTCTAAGACGATGTTGATGCCAACGGTTAATGGATGGGATCATGGGATCTCTCTCGCTTGCGTCACTAGGAACCGAGAATGTGGCACTCGTCTTGAGCTTGACGCACTGCATTGCCCATTTGCGCGTCAAGCAGATTGGGTTCAGAAATACGGGGAGCCAATCTGATTTTGGAAAATATCTCTGCACGCCGCGGCTCTGCTCATTGCGGAATGCTCTTAATCTTTGCAACAACAACAAAAAGTTCCACGAACACTGCGGGCGCATTGGACCATGTGCATTTAAAGACAACGTGATATGATCTGAACGAGAGTAGGCTACGTATGTCTGTGTCGCAGTTAAAAGCTGAAAAAGTTGGCCGTACATTTTTCAATCGGGGAAACACAAAGCAACACCGCCCCTGCTGCAAAAAAAACTACCGCAGACTATGCGTGTGAAGCATTGCGCCTCCATTCGCGATATCCTTGCGCCTTAAATACGCACGCGAATACCAAACTACTGATGATTTTATTTGAAGTCAACATATACACGTGCGCGTGTGTGTGTGTGAGCGCGTGTCCGTGCCCTGTGACGTCACGACACGGACATAATTTCCCTTTCCTCACCCGCCCATTCCCCGCGATTGGTCAGTACCTTCAGAGTGCACACGTGTTCCACCCACGCCGCCGGACGAAACAGAAAGGTAAAGGTTCAGCCCTACAAATTCTTACTCACGCCGCTGCTGACAGAAGGTCCTCAAATGCAAGTCCAGAGCAGCGATGGACAACCTAGGCCAGTTAGTGGGCCACATGAGCGGCCCTCCTTCGCCTCGGTGGGCCGCAAGCTTGACACCGCTGCTTGTGCACTAGTCGTGACCCCCCCTCCCCAACTCCGCGCATCAACCTAGACACACTGAGATCAGGCCACCACCAGGGGCTCTACGGGACGCAGGCTGCCCGCCACTGGTCTAGAGCAGGGGTCGGGAACCTTTTTGGCTGAGAGAGCCATGAAAGCCACATATTTTAAAATAAATTTCCGTGAGAGCAATATAATATTTTTCAACACTGAATACAACTAAATGCGTGTATTTTTAACTAAGACCACCAATTTTAGAATATAAGTCTCTGAATGTATCCTTTTTAATAACGTTGTTATACCAACAACCAATAATAAATAAAATACTTCTTACCATTAATGCGACTTCTGGTGCTGCATGGTTTTGCTGATGACTTTGTAGCCTGGTTGATACGTGGTGAGGTTAAGCTTCATGCAGGCGTTGAGGCTTTCATCCGTTAAACGGGATCGTAGGTTGGTTTTGATGTTTTTTAGATGTGAGAACGACTGCTCACATGAATACGTAGAACCAAACATGGTCAATAAAGCAATACTCACACGCTGCAGTGTGTAGTATGTGACAGGAAGCGCGTTCCATGTTTTGACAATCAACTGGTCTGCGGGTTGAAGTTTTTTCATTTCTGTCCACTTGTGTTTGCTCGCCAGCTCTGCTTGCTGTCGTTCAAGTCTTTCCAAATCTTCATTCAGTGACTTGAACTTATTCACCCACATGTCTGAGGCCTTCAGGTCAGCAACTTCCAGCTCAAAATCTCTGATGGAGACACCAGGGATGTAACTCAGGTCGGCTTTGTCCACTGCACCCTCGTGTGGATGAGTGATGAACTTGAAAAGACGAGTGTGCTCACGAAATTCTCCAAAGCGTGCTTTGAATGACTGCTGGAGATCAGATGTGAAGCCAGCTAGCTGCTGGAGATCAAAATGTTGAACGGGGTCACTTGCTGTGCACGCATCTTTAAATTCTCTCAGTTTTTCAAAGTGCAGTAAACGACCTGTTTCAATATCCACGATGAAGAGTTCCAGCTTGTTTTCAAATGCAAACACTGCTTGTTGAAGGGATAAGACTGTCTTTCCAATGCCTTGCATTTT